AAATTGTTTTTCTTTCATGGTTAGGGACTTAGGGGTGCTCAAAAGTCAGACCAACCTGGGCAACCCAAGTCAATCCAATGCGAAATAACCTAACGTGAAGCAAAAGATGTCTAATTGATTTGTAAAATCTTCAAACCGTAGACATTAGGTTGGAATTGGGTTATGATTATTTGAAGTCAACCCAACCCGATGAAACCGATATCTTTTTATTTATTAGATTTGATATATGTTAAGTCCTTATTAATTTGTCCATCTCTATATAACCGGTAACCACGTCAACAAATAATATTGAGTTGAATATCACGTCAACATGATAACCGATTAATGTTTCAATTAGTTATCGAAGTACTTAAATGTTTTCATTTAATTTGTCGAATTTAATTTAACATTTATTTTGATAGGGGAAAGAGATGGGATAGAAAATGGGTTAAATGATTGAGATACAATACATGACATGTGTCGTTAGTCGTGGCTTGCCACTGTTGTGTCCACCCATCCACCCAATTGTATCTGACATATTATAATCACTTTTTTAAATTCCATTTTTGTTACATCACAAGCTTTATCTTTTATTTTATTTTATTTATATGAAATAAAATTGAAACCCTATCATTTATGTACGTTCAAAATGTCACCTATTAAAATACAAAAAGGTAAATAATAAGAAATTTTTATGTGAAAATGAAATCTTATTTACCGTTTATAATTTGGTCCTTGAGGTTTGTCAAAATAACACTTTTTGTTTAACGAATTTTTTTAATGGTCATTAATATAGAAATACCAAATCCGGATGTTTTTACAAATTACAATAATCATCTTGTAATTTTGAAACTGTAATAACATAAAGTATTTTAGTTTATTCTTTATTAATACACGATTAATAGATTTTATACATACATATATATATATATATATATATATAGAGAGAGAGAGAGAGATATATATGAATTAGTTATATATATATATATATATATATTCATTTTGTTGTGAAGTTTCAAGTGTAAAAAAATGGTCTCATAAAAACAATCTAGTCTTACATGAACCCGAAAATAAAAAATGTAACTATTTATTGGGTGGACCAAAAGTTTTAAAATATTTGATTCAAAGGTTTTGAATGTAAAATGGTGGGCATAAATTCCAAAAGATTAGTGTGGTTAAGAAGGATGGCTTGGCTTGTCACACTTTATTTTTAATGACATAAAGCCAGAAGCTATACCTTCAAACCACTCACTCTTTTGTGTGCTTTCATTTTGCATTTATTGAATTACATTTTTAGATATTTAATAATTTTTTTAATTATATATTAATAGCATCTTAAAAAAAATTGATGTTCATAGTTTTTTTAATTTATTAATTACATAATTAAAATATTATATTTTTCTTATACTTTTTAATTTCAAGTAGAAAACATAAGTAATAAATTTTAGAGAGTTTTTCAAATTTAAAGAATTTCATATTTTCTCTCCTACTTTCTCCATTTTGAAGAAAGTTTTGAGGAATCTGTTAGAGCAAAATCCCGAAAATGTCCATTTTAAAGAATATGTTAAAAAATACTCTAAGGAGCCGTTTACCCAAATGCTTACCCGGTAAGCGCTTACCAATAGGAGTCAACACTATGATTTATTTTGATACGTAAGATTTTAGTCCATCAAAGCATATCAAATGCAACAATTTACTAGGGAAGCACTTACCTGGGTTAGAGTCGTCATCCTCACTTACCGGATAAGACTCTCCATCCATCTCATCACTCTTATGCAATAAGATTTTTGGCCCTTTCTCATGTTCATCCGATGAAGAAATTTATGCATTAAGCACTTACAAAGTAAGTGTCTAGTAAACGGCCCCTAAGTCTTACATGATAAAAAAAAAAACAAATAAAGTATTTCAAGATGTTGTCATTCGACTAAAAACATAGGGTGTGTTTGATTGGTAGGTTCTGAAACCATAAAATAAAAGGATAACGAGACACATGTATTGTTATTTGGATTTATAAATTAAATATTGTTATATTAGTAGCAAAATGGAAAATTGCATTAAGATATAACCAACTTTCGAAATTATTATTTAAGTGTTTAATGCATAAATTTATTTGGATTTAAGGAAAATTGTATTGTTATTTGGATTTATAAATTAAATGTCTTTTCCCTCAAAATTCGAAAAAAGACCTGGGAACTTGGTATTGAATATCAAAATACGAGCTTTATCCAAAAAAAAGAATAAAATATGTCAGTTAAATACTTGTGTAAATAATTGGATTGAGGTTAACAACCTCTTAATCTAATCCTCATAAGAACTAGATTACATTCCGGGTGTCACTAAAACCCGTATCCATTGGGAGTCGCCTGAACACAAATATTGTTCAAGTCCCCAACGATCTCTAACAAGTTTCACCTCAAGAGTGGGTTGACCTTACTGTCTATCCATAATAATAACACCTCAAGACTTACACACTTAGTACCTACCTTCTGAGTAGCATCTCAAGTATAATGGTTCTTAGTGCCTACCCTTATGAGTAGCTACTGAGTTCTTCCAATCATAAAACTGAAGTGGGGAAGTCCATTCATTCCAAAAGTGTGGTAACACCCCACACATCATATTGGAAAGCCACTAAACATCCCATAATATTTTATCGAAATCAACAAGACTATAACTCACGATAATTCAAAATTAGGTCAATAATTCCATAACACATGTTTAACATATAATATCAAGATTATAGACCAAGTTTCATGTAATCTCTCTCAGTATCGATGTTTTTGAAGACATATTACGTGTACGATCTGTTGGAGTTGTCGACAATCAGTTTTTTTTTTCCAAAATATTGTAATAAGATTAATTTACAAAGAATATTGGTTTGTAAAACTTCTATTTTGAAACATAATGTCTAGAAAATGAGTTAGTGAAAGGGGTCAAAGTAATCATGAGTTGTATTCAAATGATTATATGTGTGTGGGCCCACATATATGATCAATGTCATTTCTTTATTGCATTATTACCGGCTTGGGTTAGATTTTTTTAAGTCATGAATATTATATATATATATATATATATATGGTTGGGTTCACGTGAGATCAAATATTTTTCGTGAGACTCGTAAAACCTATTTATGTTCATTGATCAACTTTATAAGCTAATGATCTAATGGTCTAAAGTTGCTCGTTGACAATTTTGTGATTATTGAGAAGTCTCGTGGCGTTTATGAATATTCAGATTGTCAGATTCTATATCTAATCCAAGAGTTGAGAATTGATCTTACGAGTCTCACGAAAAACTATTGGTCTCATATAATCGCAAGTCTCTCTCTATATATATATAATTTTAATTTTAAAAGAATAATGAATTAAAACATTATTTGATGTTAAAGGGGGCCATTGGATTCAACTTCCATGTGGTGTGATGTACATTGCAAATTAATATATTGAACAACAAAACAAATACTATTTTTAATAAATATAAAAATTATTTTATTCATATAAATATAAATAATTTAATAAATATGTAAATTATAAGATACATAATTAAAAGAAAGTAAAAACACATAATTCTTAATAAAACACTGACCCAGATAATTTCTTTATAAAACAGTTTATAATTTATTAAACTATAATTTTACTTGAAAATAAAGTAATTAATATTCATTAAAAATCAATTTAAATATAAATATAAGCATATTATATCAATAACATTTGACTTGCATAGAAAACTTTAAAATATAACGATGATGAGGTTATCAATTTGAATCATGTAAAAAAAACTAGAGATTTTTTTAACTGTTTTTAAGATTCTTGAGATTAATCGAGATATATGTATATATATAAAATAAAAAAGAAATGTATGTAAAATTTAATTTAATTTTTAAAAAAGGGAAAAGTACAATAAAAACCAATGAACTTTCTTGTTTGGAATGATTAAGTCCTTGAACTTTTTTTTGGAACAAATAAGTTCTTGAACTTTCCAAAACATGTTAAATAAGTCCTTGAACATTCCAAAATATGTTAAATAAGTCCTTGGACAATTTTTGGAACAAATAAGTCCTTGAACATTTCAAAAAATGTTAAATAAGTCATTGGACAATTTTTGGAACAAATAAGTCCTTGAATAATCCAAAACATGTTAAATAACTTTTTGAAAAAAATAAAGTGGTAAAATAGTGAAAAAAATCCGGAAAAAAACCCAATGAACATTCATAATTTGAACGATTAAGCCCCTAAATATTTTTTGAACCAAAAAGTATTTAGATATATAAAATTAAACAAATATAACAAAAAAGTACTTATATTTACAAAAAAAATAATTATCATTTTAACTAGTTGTACAAGTCATTAAAATGTATCCAACATGTTTTATAAAAGTTCAAGAAGTTATTTAACATGTTTTGGATTGTTCAAGGACTTATTTGTTCCAAAAATAGTCCAAGGACTTATTTAACATTTTTTGGAATGTTYAAGGACTTATTTAAYATRTTTTGGAAWGTYYAAGGACTTATTTGTKCCAAAAAAWWGTTCAAGGACTTAATCATTCCAAACAAGAAAGTTCATTGATTTTTATTGTACTTTTCCCTTTAAAAAAACGTTAAAAGAGATGACATTAAATATCCATTCCCACAAGATGATGAGATAATCATATGTCCCCAGCCACAACCCCAAACAGCCATGCCATTTCTAGAGATAGAAAGAGAAAGAGAGAAAGGGATTAAAAAGCAAAGGCGCCTCTTCCCCCTTGGTCATTGATCCAGTTGGAGCAGTGAAAACCCAACTGGCTTTCCAATTTCTCTAATAATCACTCCCTCTTCTCTCTCTGTAAAAAAGGTTTGTTCTTGATGCCTCTTTATGCTTCAACACAGCCTTTGGTGAGGCAGCCAGACCTCATTATAGCAAAACTCCTTAATTCTCTTCTTCTCATTTCTTGTCTTTTTCTTGATTTTGCTTTTCTTTTTTGCCAAATTCTGCTTCTGGGTTTCAAACAACTGCTTGTGATTTCCCATGATTCCTTTTCCTTTTTCTTCCTCTTCTTTCTCCACAAGGTGTGATTTTGATTGGTTTTTGCAGCTTCAGGAACTGGGGGTATGATTAGGATTTTGTTTCTTGTAATTATCTCACTGGAGCTGCAAATCTCTGTTTCTTGATGATTAACAAAGGTCTCTGGTTGTGATGGAGTTCTATCATTGAATTGTGAGCTGGGTTTGCTGCAAGATCGATCTGTACCTCATAAAGGCCATGCTTTTTGATGAGTTTTCCTGCTGTTCTTGAGTTTTCAAGGCCTCTTCTCAAGATATATAAGTGGGTGTTTCTGATAATGTCTTTGAATTGCAAGATTTCTGGGTTAAATGGTAGGTTTTTGACCAGTTCAAAGATGAGGAAGGCTAAAGAACCTTTGAGAGTATCTAATGGTGGCTGGAAAAGAAAAAGATTGCTCCTTTTCACCTGGGTTTTCCTCTTTGTCACTGGGTTTGGTTTATTTTTGTTTAGTGGTGTTTTAAGGAAGAAGATGGAGATAAAGGAGACATGTGAAGATAAATCTTTGGTCTTGGTTGAACAACTTAATGTCAGCAAAGACCTTCTTCATGAGCTGGCCTCCTCATTCTTTGAATCAAATCAGGTTTTGCCTTTAAATCTTCTTGGTTTTACTGTAACTTTCCACTTTCTTTATTAGCATTTGAAGAATCTTTAGAACCATAGATATGAAACCTATTGGGGGGCATGAAACAGTTCTTCTGGAATTAAAAGATATGAAACAGATATGTAATCTAGAAGAATCTTTAGAACCATAGCATGTCAACTGTGTTCTAATTATTGTAGGGTTTTTTCTTCCAGATAACTACCTTGAAATGTACCAAACAATCGCGTTATGAAACATCCACAAAACATGAAATCACCTGTGCTCTCAAAGTGCCAAATCTTGAGAACCATGGGGTCGATGAGCACGATAGTTATCCTGCAGAAAATGTGGAATTGTGGGGTCAATGTTCTGTTCAAGATGACAACACTCCTGTAGTACATAACTGGACAACTTGCAAGAAAGCATTACAAACAATGATTCTTAGAAAACTTGCGATTCTGAAGGTATGCCTGTTGGCCCTTTTCGTAATTGCAGTTTGTTGCCAGATTCGTTGTTTGTGGAAGAATCGTGAAGGCAATATGCAGAAGAAAGAGCAACCCTCAAAGAGTGCTGGGAAATGGATGAAGAAACTTTTAGTTTTGTTTATGTTAGCTGGAGTTATTGCATCAATGTGGTTATTTTGGTACTTAAATGAAGGTATTCACTTTAGAAGAAAAGAAACTCTAGCGAATATGTGCGATGAACGGGCACGAATGTTGCAGGATCAATTCAATGTGAGCATGAACCATGTTCATGCGCTTGCTATTCTTGTTTCCACTTTCTATCATGGGAAAGAACCTCCTGCTATTGATCAAGTAAGTTTTTCAAGAAAAAAATGTTGCCACAGTTGTTAGAACTTTCTAAATTAACAAACTTTTTGGTCTTCATACAGAAAACTTTTGGGGAATATACAGAAAGAACATCTTTTGAGAGGCCATTAACTAGTGGTGTTGCCTATGCTTTAAGAGTCCGCCATACTGATAGGGAGAAATTTGAGAAAGAACATGGATGGACTATAAAGAAGATGGAAACCGAAGATCAGACTTTAGCACAGGATTGTGACCCCGAGAATCTGGACCCTTCGCCTATTCAAGATGAATATGCTCCTGTTATCTTATCTCAAGAAACTGTTTCGCATATCGTCTCCATTGATATGATGTCTGGAAAGGTATATATATAGGGAGGCACAGGGGAACACCTCAACAAAATGAAAAACTAAGGAATACCCTGGTAACCATTCATCTGGAAGGTATGCACATGTGCATACAAGTAATTGAAGCTGTTTATTGGGTTTATGCACGTGTGCATGTTAGGCACATGTGCATAGCAGACAAATTACTTGTATGCACATGTGCATACGGTATACATCTTCATCAAGCTTAAAGAGTCTGCATATTTTGCTTCATTATTGGCTAGTTTTACTCATAATGAATAATGAGATATCAAATAATCTGTATATATGAATGTCTCAGTTTTCTTTTCTTTTTCACTGTCCTTTAGGAAGACCGTGAAAACATTTTGCGAGCAAGGGCATCTGGAAAGGGGGTCTTGACATCTCCTTTTAAGCTACTAAAGTCGAACCACTTAGGAGTAGTACTTACCTTTGCGGTCTATAATGCTCATTTTCATCAGGATGCTACACCAGAAAAGCGAATTAATGCCACTGTGGGGTAGGTTTGTCATTTTACTGCATATCTTTGATTGAAGATTTACCTCATTTGCTTTATAACGAACTTCTGTAATGTGACAGGTACCTTGGTGCATCTTATGACGTCCCATCGCTGGTTGAGAAGCTTCTGCACCAGTTAGCAAGCAAACAGACGATTGTAGTGAATGTTTACGACACAACAAATGTTTCTGCAGCCATTAACATGTACGGTCCTAATGAGACTGACACGGGCCTACTTCACATCAGCAGCCTTGACTTCGGTGATCCTGCTAGGAAGCATGAAATGCGTTGCAGGTCATATTTCACGAAAATCTGAACTTTTGTTTGGGTAACCTTGGGGGAGGGGGGGGGGGGTCTGGGCCAGTTTGTACCACCTCCACCTGGTCTGCTTGAATTTTTCTTCATTGGATTTCGTTTTTTAGCAGGTTTAAGCAGAGGTCTCCGACACCATGGACAGCAATAGTAGCTTCAGGTGGGGTGCTTATAATCACTTTTCTTCTTGGCCATATCTTCTACGCAGCTATCAGCCGGATTGCAACGGTAGAGCGTGATTGTCGTGAGATGATGGAGCTCAAACATCGTGCTGAAGCTGCAGATGTAGCAAAATCACAGGTGCATTTATAGGTGTTCATATATAAGACGCCCTTAAAGCAAAAGGCTTTAATTGTGACAAATCTCGCTCTCTTTTGTAGTTTCTGGCAACAGTTTCACATGAAATCAGGACCCCGATGAACGGTGTTTTAGGTAACTTGGATATCTTTTAGTTGATCAATAGCTGTTATGTCTTTGGGACTGTTTTATGATAAAAAAATTTCCATATCAGGCATGCTGCAGATGCTGATGGACACAACTCTAGACGCGAAACAATTGGATTTTGCGCAGACTGCCCATGCTAGCGGAAAAGATTTGATAAGGTTGATTAATGAGGTACTGGATCAGGCGAAAATTGAATCTGAAAGGCTCGAGCTTGAGGCTGTCCCATTTGATCTGCGCACCATTCTTGATAACGTTTTATCGCTATTTTCAACCAAATCTCAAGAGAAAGGGATCGAGGTAGATACCAACCTGCATACTTGGATTATTTATTCCTAAGATACATCCATTCTAATTGGCGTAAATCTCTTTCTTTGTGGAAAAAAAAAGTTGGCAGTTTATGTATCTAATCAACTTCCTGAGGCTGTTGTTGGAGATCCCGGGCGTTTCATGCAAATAATCATGAATCTGGTTGCAAATTCACTTAAAGTTAGCACCTTTTCTCATCTTTATCACAATTAACACACACTACTCTCTGTGTTTTGAGTTCTGCCATTCATCTTCGTTGCCGTTTTTGCAGTTTACACATGATAGAGGACACATATTTGTGTCTGTGCATCTAGCAGATGAAGTGACACGTGATTCCGATATGAAGGATGACGTGCTAAGAAAAATCTTGGCTTCTGGGTCAAATTCAAACATAGTGTGTAATACTTTGAGCGGGATTCCTGTGGTCGATAGGAAGAAAAGTTGGGAAAACTTTGGTGGCAAAGATTCGATGAATGAACATGAAAAGATCAAGATTTTAGTGACTGTTGAAGATACTGGTGTGGGAATCCCGATAAATGCACAGAGCCGGATATTCAAGCCGTTTATGCAGGCTGACAGTTCGACATCAAGAACTTATGGTGGAACTGGGATTGGTTTGAGCATTAGTAAGCGATTGGTAGGACTTATGAAAGGTGAGATTGGTTTCGTTAGTGAGCCTGGTACTGGAAGTACTTTCTCGTTTACAGCCGTTTTCATGAAAAAAGAAACATGCTCTCTTGATACCATATTGCAGCCGTATCATCCAGCCATATCAGAGTTCCGGGGACAAAAAGCGTTGGTGATTGATTGGAAAATCATAAGAGCTGAAGTCACAAAATACCATCTTCAAAGAATGGGAATATCGGTCGAGATTACATCTAGTTTCTCTTACCTATCTGCAAGGTAAGATCGTTTTTCTCAATGCTTCGACTGGCTCAATGGGCAATACAACGAAATCGGCTTTATAGGATGTCAAAGATGTTTAAATATCCTAATAGACTGCATTATAAGACTTAAGTTTATAGTGCCAAACAATTGTGCATCCTATATAAAGGTGTTACAATAGACGTATGTGGGCATCTTAACAAGTTTTTTAGGACATTTTGACTTAAAGTGTCTCATAGACACATCCTTTTATAGGACATTTGTTTTTATAAGACTAATGCGACGCTTTATTTCTTAGGACACTTTTTCGAATAATGTCATATACAAAGACTAATATGACGCTTTATTTCAATATTGTCCTAGAAAACTTGTTAGGATGTCCAAAAATGTCTTTTCAACTTATTGTAACACCTTTGCATGGGGAGCATAACTGTTTGATCCTATAAACTTAAGTCCTATAAAACAATTTGTTAGGACATTTGGACATATTTGCATCCAATCAACTTATTGTAACAGCTTTGCATAACGCACACAGTTGTTTGATCCTATGAACTTAAGGGGTTGTTTGGTTGGTTTTCCACTAAATACTGTATGGATAAAGTTGTTTGTGTGTATTAATCTGTCAGTATAGATTGTGAAGGTTTTTGTTTTGGAGGGGTTTTTCATAGATGGAAGGAATGTGTTTTTTCAATTGGGAGGGACCGGATTGGAAAAAACTTGACTTTCTGCATACCCTCCCCCCGGGAAGCTTACTGAATAAGCCACTTTCTATATCATTAAGCCACTACCAAAAACATGTATAGCTGACTGAATAAGTTGTCGGTCCCATTAAGCCTATTAAGCTGCTAACAAACAGATCCTAAGTCCTATAAAACGATCTATTAGCACATTTGGATATATTTTGCGTCCTATAAAGCTGATTTTATTGTAGTGGGAGCGTTTTGTTTATGACATTCTTAATCATTTTTGTTTCTTTCTCTTTGTAGTGATTCAGCTGGTTTTGCAATGATTCTTCTTGATGAAGAAGATTGGGATAAGGAGATTGGTCTTGCTTTTCTTCGTAACCTTAAGGAGCTAAGACCAACTAGTAGCCCAAAACTATTTCTCTTGGCTCACTCCATGAGCCCAACTATACACGATGAACTCAAATCGGCTAACTTGGTGGCTAACGTTGTGGCAAAGCCTCTAACGTTAAGTGTCTTGATCTCTTCCTTCCAAGAAACTCTTACGGTTAGAAACAAGAGCCTCGTAGCAAGAAGAAAACCATCGACTCTTGGGACTCTACTACGTGATAAGAGGATCTTGGTGGTTGATGATAATGTGGTCAATAGACGAGTGGCGGATGGTGCTTTGAAGAAGTATGGAGCTATTGTCACTTGTGTCGATAGTGGGAAGGCTGCGTTAGAGAGGCTTAAACCACCTCACCATTTTCATGCTTGTTTCATGGATCTCCAAATGCCCGAAATGGATGGGTAACAAACTCTCTCCCTTTCTTTGATCTCTACACATTGTTTGATAATATATTTTGAGAAAGGTCGTGATTTTCTTCAACCATAAGCTAGCTTATTCTTTGAGCTTATTGAAAAAGACCTGTTTGGTTAGCCATAAGTTGGCATTTGAAAAGCTACTTTTAAGTAGTGTTTCAATAAGCTCCATGGAGGGTTTTTCCACTTTTTCCAATTATGCCCCTTATAGTTTTCAATGTTAATTTTTTAACATGTCCTTTTGGGTCATTTTACATTGTCATCCAGCTTATTAGCTAGTTTTTACCAAACATGACTATTTCATCAGCTACCAACTAGCTTATTGGCCAACAACTAACTTTTCAGCTAACAACTAGCTTATCATCCAAGAGCTAACTTATCAGTTAGTTTGTCAAACATAGAAGTTGTTGGTTGGTTTTTCATTAAGTCCTATATGGATGAAGTTGCTTGTGTGGATTAATCTATCTGTATATATTGAGAAGGTTTTTTGTTTGGAATGGTTTTTTCATAGATAGAAGGAGCATGTTCTTGTAATTGAGAGGGGCATATTTGGAAAAAAACTTGGTTTTCTATATAAATTCCCCCCTAGAAGCTTACTGAATAAGCCACTTTCTAAATCATTAAGCCACTACCAAATAATCATGTATAGTTGCTCGAATAAGCTATAAGTCCTATTAAGCTCTTTAAGTTGTTAACAAACCGGTCCATACTCTAATACTGAAATATCCAAAATACCCTTGAAGAAATTGTCGCGATTGATGAAAAATTTAGGTTGGGAGTTGAATATAGAAGGGAAGTTGGACACTAAAGTTGGTATAGTTATGTTAAAGAAGTACTAAAACATGGTGTTGTCTCGATGTTTCAGGTTTGAAGCTACACGACAAATCCGCAGGCTAGAGAGCAAGGTTAACGAAAAAATCGAATCTGGTGAAGCATCAATCAAAATGTTTGCAAATGTGGGTCATTGGCATACGCCTATTTTAGCAATGACTGCAGATGTCACTCAGGCTACAAATGAAGGATGCATGCAGTGTGGAATGGATGGCTATGTCTCCAAACCATTTGAGGAAGAGCAGTTGTATTCGGCTGCAGCTTGCTTTTTTGAGTCCGGTTGATGGTCCCATGGCTCAGCATGATGGGTTGCACCACCTGACCTAGTTAACCCATGGGTCTGGTTACATGGCTAGTGGTTCACTTGGAACTAGCAGCATAACCATTGATGCAGGATCAGGTGGAACTGCTCTACCCACCCGAAGCACATATGGTCCATGGTCCAGCATGGTGGGTGCACCAGGTGACCTGGTTGACCAATGGTCTTAACAGTTTGATTCGATGGCTTGTTGGTTCTCTTCAGACCATCCGCGATGCCATTGATGCAGGGTCATGCACATCGCTGTTCTTGCCATGGTAATTTGGTTAAATAATCTGATTATTCCATCACACTACAACAAAATCAGCTTTATAAGACATCAAATATGTCTAAATGGTAGATTATATAAAACAGTTTATTATGACATTCAGACATATTTAACATCCTATGAAGACGATTTTGTTGCAGCGTCAAAGATCGTCTTTTTAAATTAAAAAAACTAAAGATTCTTACTTTCTTCATCTAAACCATCTTCAATCAATTTCAAGACTATGTTATGGTATTTGGAAAGCTAAAAGCTTGTTTTCTTTCAATTTTCAGCGACGATGGGCATGGAATCTGCATACGAGCCCTCGTTTACTGCATCACCGTGGCTAAAGAATTCGTTACGATGGCCTAATCTTGATAGGGTGCACGATTCAGAAATCTACACAATAACACGACATAAGTTTTTGTTTGAAGATTCGGAAACGTCACCTTATAGCGAGTAATGTAAAGATGAGAACTTTCCAATCCTGTTTCTTGGATGCATATACATGGTAATTCACATATGAATGTGAGAACTTCCCAATGCCCTTCCTTGGATGCGTGCGTATATGGTAATGCACCTATGAATGTACAAAAACTGATATCTCTTGTTTAATACAAGTTTATAAAATCTGTATTACGATCGATAACGGCTGTTTATGTTGTGGATTTGGGAATTTTGAGCTACACAAGCTTTCAGTCGATAGTCGTTTGTTCCGTTTTGAAGCAACAACACGTATCTAACGATTCACGTGTATATAAAGATAAGATTGGTTTATCTGAAAAAATTTATATCGTATGTAATTAAAACCGATAAAAAACGAATTTTTAGTTACATTACATACTCATTAACTCGTTTATTTTTGGAATTTAGAGGTTATTTTGGTGTATGAGTCCAATTAAGGCTGCCAACATGTACAATTGTTTGAAACAACTTAGGCATACCATGAAACACAACATCCTTAAACTCCTTCCATTTTGGATCATATTTCACCAAACTCCCTCCTCTATGCTCTATCAATATCTCCCCATTCTTCAACACACAAAGAACCCGAACCATCTTCTCGTGCATCGGTTTCCGCCACAACCCGTAATCGTTACTCGGGATTTTCGCCAAATACGCCCCGTGGATGTCGAAATGCTTCGTCCATGATTCTTTCACGTCGTATTTCTCCATTACCCAAATCTCCAATTTCCCGTATCCACACGACACCGCCGCTGCCAGACACCCGCCAATCACCGTTAAGTGATAGTTGCTTCGGTTAACGGGCTTGGAGATGAGTTTAAACTGTTCGTCTTTCAGGTCGAACGACACAATGGTTCGACCAGGAAGCCCACCTAGCCGGCCCAGGCGACTCACCCAGTGGAGTCGCCCGTTCACCACCACCACTTCCTTTGCTTGCCGGTCCAGATGGTATGGCATTTTCCCAAGACATCTCCAACCGTTGGACTTCGGTTCGCCAATGGTCAAGACGTAAACCTCGGACTTTGGGTAACTCCGGTTGCTTCGGTTTAACCGACGTGGCGTCCGGTAATATACGATCCGAACAACCTTATACTGGTTCGTAACCGGATGAAACCCGAACCCGAACACCACCTCCTGGTCCTGGAACTGTTGAGATTTCGGCAGCTCTAGATGGTTTCTGGTGAAGGGGTTGAACACGTAGACGGGTTCGCCGTAGAGCGAATCGGACAAACACAACAAGCCATTGCAAGAGCCGACGACGTTGAATTCCGGCATGGAAACGGAAAAGGGTGTGGATATCTTTCGTACAATCTTGTCGCCACCGTCGTAGCCAACAAAGTAAAGCTGGTTACGGATGGGATAATCGCAGTGGAAGAGCAAGATAGGGTCTGCCTGCTCCGCCGTGGGGTGGTGGAGCCGCGGCAGTTCAGGGTCATGCGATAAGGCGTGGCAAGAATGGGATACGAACCGGAATTGGATGAGTGAGGATATCGGCAGCCTGGTGAGAACATCGAGAAGTACATCTCTGGGCAAAATCTGGAAGCCAGATGAGTGGTTATCGATCAAGGTTCCATCTTGATGGTGGTCATGGGTGAGTTTGATCTTCTTGTTTCTGGATTGTTGAGGATCTGAATCATCCATGGAAGATCAAGATGAAGATGAAGATGGAGATGGAGATGGGGAAATTGAAGCAATTTAGAAGATGGTTTTAGAGACGGAAAGCACAATGAAAGGTGTTGAAGCTGGGGATGGATTCTTTGAATAAACGAGAAAGTCGAAATGGGGTCCATCATTGAATAATAATTTGTAAGCATATGTGACAAAAGTCCACCTTTTCTCCATTAAAAACGGGTGTTGGGACAAATTCTGGGCTTACAAGATAATGACCATATTATGACGCAATAATATATATACTATATTATAAATCATTTGATAAAAATTCTTAAAAAAATTATTTTTTATGCATAAAGTACTATATATTGATACATATTACTTAAAATTCAAGATTACAAGTAAATTGTGCATAAGTATAACTTATTAAAGCTTCATGTTTGAATTCGTGTAACTAACTGAGGATAAACATAATCAAATAGAGGATAAAAATCTAAAATTTTTAAAATATAATTAAAATAATTATTGAGAATTAACAAAATAATTAATTATTATCTTTATAAAAAAATTATATTTTTAAATTAAATATAAATTACTTCGTTATTGAATCTAAATTAAATTATAATTAAAAAGTTGAATTAAAAAATTACACAAAAAATGAGGAATTTTAAATAGTTAATTTGATATTAATAACGATATTTTTGTCAAATTCTTATGATATCTTCAAAATTATATTTTAGTAAAAATTAAAAACATTATCGTTTTTTTTCAAAATCACATAAGATTATATTATAACATCGACTAGGATAAAGAATAGAATGAAATATTAAAATCAATATATATCTCGCTGCATCGTGCGAGTTACCTTCTAGTTAGTGTGTGTGTGTATATATATAGTTTGTTAGTAGTTAAATGAATTGTTTATTTTGTTAATTATATATGACTGTTTAGTAGTGATTTAATTATATAGAAAATGATTTATTTATTAATTTTTTAAGGAAGAGTTTTATGCAGAAAACAAAGTTTCTTTCAAATCTGTCTCTCCCATTTAAAAAACATGTTTTTTCCATTTATGGAAAAAAATTCAAACAAAAACATTCTCAATGTATATAAATAGATTAATCAACACAGACAACTTTATCTATATATGATTTAATGGAAAACCAACAAAACAGTCCTTTATTTGGTTTTTCATTAAGTCATGTATGTATAAAGATATTTGTGAGTAGAAGATTTTTGTTTGAAAGAGTTTTTCCATGGATGAAAATAGTGTGATTTTTAATTTGGATGGTAGATTTAAAAAAAAAAAACTTGACTTCCTGTACAAAGCTCGTTCATAGAAGCTTATGAATAAGCCACTTTCTATATCATTAAGTCATTGTCAAACATTTATATATAGCCAATTAAGTTGCTAACAAACATGCCCTTATCAAAACATTGTTACAGGGTATGTTTTTTAAATGTATAATATTATATAAAACTCTTGCATTCTTTTTATATTTGGTGAGGTTTGAACCATTGATCTTTTGGGAGAGTACGTAATCTTGATACCGCTAGACCAAAGGCTGTTTGAGTATCTTGTTTATTGATAGTTAGTGTGTTTGTTGAAAATGTAGCTTTTTGACCCGTTATTCATAGTTCCTTATACGTGGTTCACAACGTACAATAACATAACCACAATGGTGGTGCCTGATTGGTTTGAGTTTGACTCCAAAGATCAAAAGTACCAGGATATCCCAAGTTCAAATCCAAAGAGGAATAAAAATCCTCTTGTGGCCACGGAGGTTCAAATACGGTGACTCCGGGTTATCTACAAAGCAGGTGGTTGCCTTGGGATTAGTCGGCTCGCATAGCGGGTTGGATATCCAGGTTAATAAAAAAAACGTACAATGACAATTTATAAGAACTTACAAAAAAAAAAATGAAGAAGTTGTATGTGTAAATGAACAACAAAGTTCTTAAAATACAACATATGTATTTTGTTTTATATGTTTATGCACATGTAAATGAACAATAAGTTGTATATGTAAAATAAGTTGAGTTTGGGTTTAATATTTTTTTTTAACAATTTCATTATTATGCACATATGTGCATTTATATTATTATCATCATTCACATGTAAATGAAGAGTAAGTATTATATAGAAAACATTTTATGGTTGATTTATACGTTATTATTATCATTATTCACATGTGATATCCATTGTAACCCCCTTGTCTTGCATGTACGTTAAACAAACACTACGACTTTTTTAACTTAATCATGTGAATATCTACTGAATGTCTTATGCAGTAAAATCATTTGATTAATATGCACAAACAAATACACTCAAATACATGAACTTATATATATAATTTACATGTCGATTCAAGTTTGTTATAAACTATAATATACCCATTCACATGTGAATATTAACTAATATAAATCATTTACATTTACCCGAAATGCATAGTTTATATTCATATATCAATATAAATATTAAGTTAAAATAATGAAGTGTTTGTTCTTTTAATATATATTGTCTAAATTTAAATATTAAGTATATCTATACTATATTATAAGCATTTGACAAAAACTCTTAAAAACCATTTTTTATGTATAAAATATTATTTATTGATGCATATTACTTTATTATTTTTTTTTTAAATAAATAAGATTCTTAATCAAAAATAAAAAAACTTCCTTATTAAACTTAAATTAAATTATAATAAAAATTTTGAATTAAAGAAAATTACAAAAAAAAAACTATAAGTTTTAAATAATTAATTTGATACTAATATCGAAGTCTTTTTTTTTCAATTTTTTATGATATCTTCAAATTTATATTTTGTTCAAAAATAAAAATATTGTCGCATTCTTAAAACCACTGAAATTGTATTATAACATAGAGAGAGACATAAAATAAAACGAAACATCAAAATCGAGATGTATCTCGTTGCACTACTCGCGTACCCTTCTAGTTTGAAATAATTAATATTTAAAAAAAGTAAATCTATTTTTGTAATTGGAAGAGTTCTAAAAATCTAATGTTTGTCAGTTGCTGAATGGTTTGGTGTAGAACTGTTAAGTGGTCAGAATAGTTAAGATGGTCAGAATGGTTAAGTGCTGAATGAAATAAGGCTGTTTAGTAACTGTTCTCTAAATGACAACAAATTACCATTTTAACCCTCTGTATGATTTAGTACCGAGTGAAATATCGTTGTTTGACAGATATCTGAATAAAACAATTACTTTGCAAATATAACTACATATTTCATATTAATTCAAGCAACTATAACATTACTTTTTCCAGTTCTAGAATAAACAAAAACCATAACAATCAAATGCCAGCATAATAGCTTTTGAACACTTCTTAAAGACGCATTTCACATTAATTGATTCGCGATTTGGTCACGTAAATTAGCCATGTATTCATTGGACAAATGAACTGGCATAGGGAAACAGTAAAAGAAACAGTAGCATAAACGTTTTATAAAATATTTTACCATTCATAAAGAAACAGTACCATAAAGTATTCCACATAAAGTATCATTGTGGAAACAAAAATCAACATTAATTGTGGAATATCCTACTGTTTACAGATACCAAAGTAAGCAATCCAAAGTGTGTAAATCAATGGACCAAAACACATCAGCAAGAAACCGATTTCTACTAGACCAAAGGTAACACAAAGGTGATACAAAGCCATTTCCAAACCACAGTTGCTAAATACAAAGGTAATAAACCCCTTTATGGACACGGTCGTCAGACCATAGTCTCGAAACACAGAAACTGACGAGAAACCGACCAGATTGACAAAAGGAAAGGAAGAAATTGGGTCCAGATAATACCTGAGAGATAGCTCGGCGGAGAGATAGAGACAGAGGGTTGTCAATGGGAACCACTGGTGAGATCGACCGGCTTGGGAAAGGAAAAATCGTCTGGCAGAGAGGTGAGAGGCGTGAGCATGAGGAGACTGAATGGAGGCGTGTGGAACTCAATGGCAAGTATGGAACAAAATGGATCTAAACCATTAGGCAAAACCCTAGATGCAAAATCGTTAAGAGGTAATTGTCACCATTAAGAGATTTTTTTTGTCAAACAACATCTGCCTTGTACCGATTAAGAGGCTCCATCTTTTTTTTGATTAACCTGGATATTCAACCCGCTATGCGAGACGACTAATTCCAGGATGACCACCTGCTTTATAGATAGCTCGGATTCACCGCATTTGAACCTCCGTGGCCACAAGATGATTTTTATTTCTCCTTGGATTTAAACCTGAGACCTCCTGGTACTTTTGACCTTTGGAGCTAAGCTCAAACCAATCAGGCACCACCCTTATGGTTAAGATGCTCCATCTTAATATCATTATTAAGAGGCAAGCAAACAGGCCCTAAGTGGACTTTAGTTTGACAAGGATGTTTTTGTGAGATGGATTCGTGCAAAGATTTGGAATATTTGATATATTTAATTTATATAATTTGAAATAAAATTGAATTACAAATAATTTATAAAAACAAATTAAAGAAATAATTAAATTACTTTTTTATTAATTGATTATTACAAAACAAATGTTTTTTTTAGCATACTACAAATAAATCTTACAAAATCCCGTAAAATATCAACCACTTCATGGGATTTTATTATCCTATATTTTTGGGATTTCAGTTTCAGACTTTCCTTTAAACCAAACACTGAATTAAGTAAAATTTAATTCTGAATCCTATCAAATCTTGTAAACCAAACGACACATGAGAGATCTCCCTGATTCTGGGTTCATGAAACGTAGGGTACTAAAATGGCATTTTAATTAAACAAGTGCTATTATTCATAACCGTTGGATTAAAAAGAATGGAAGGGTATGATGAATTATTTTGTTTTTAGGATAAACTAAAGTCACATAAAATTCCAGGAAATAGGGTAGATCAGCATCTGTTTATTCTTCTTCTTTGCTTTATGTTATCTGAAGGTGGTGGGCCAGTGACACTTGGACTTTTGCTCTGCCTTTTCTTTCAAAAAAGTTTTTTGCTTTCACACACACACCAAAAACTGCTTTTGGAACTTTTCATAGCATGCTTAAAATACAAATAAAATTTATATACAACTATTCATGAGTTATTTATGATGAATGTTTTGTTAATTATAATGAATATTTTATGGTTATTCATCATGAATAATTCATGACATAATTGGTTCCAAAATTCTCAAAATGTTTATGATTCTCATTTGAATCTGTCTTAAAATAGATATAAAAATAATAGAATTCAAGCAATTCCAAGTCTGAGGATGATGTGATCAAGAAGAAAGCAATATTTGGATGATGGTTTGTATAAAATACAATCAAATCTTGGGATATTGGTGGAAATGATTGATTGGGGAAACCTTCCCATGTGGATATGGAAGACACCTTCACATGATCCAACAGAAACAACACCTCCATTTCTGGCTCTTGCTTCATCATTTGCTGTAAAGCTTATTTCCCTTGTCATATATATAAACCCCATCTGTTTCTCCTCTCTCTCTCTCTACCCCTTTCTCTCTCTAACCATTCAAGCAAAAATGTCATCTTTTCTGCTCTCAGTGCTGCTACTTGTGTTCATATTTCCACATAGATCTGGTAACTAAATCTAATTCCCTTCTCAATCTTCATAGCTTCACCATTTTCTTGATCTTTTTGGTGTTATATGACTTATATCTATAGATACATACATGTATATATAATAAGAAAGTATATTCATCGATCTCAAAACTGCTACTTTGAGTTTCTTATTCCATCTTCACAATGCCCATGTGCATCTTAATCCAGTATCATGTTATGGCAACATGACAATACATATGGTGGCCCCTCTTATTCTTAGTTAATACTATATATATGCAATATTTATATCCTGGTAGGCCCACTGAATAAACAAATGAAGTCTATTGGTTCGTCATTTTACTGACAGCACTTTTTCTTTATTGTTCGTTTGAATTTTGTATAGAAGGAGAATTTGAGCAATGGTGCATAGCAGATGAACAGGCAACAGATGCAGAACTACAAGCAGCCTTAAACTTCTCATGTGGGGAAGGGGGTGCAGATTGTAGCAAGATTCAAGAAAACCAACCGTGTTATCTACCAAACACACTAAAAGACCATGCTTCATTTGCCTTCAATAGTTACTACCAAAAATTTAAGCATAATGGTGCCTCTTGCTACTTCAATAGTGCCGCCATGACCACCGAAAAAGATCCCAGTAAGCACTTTTTTTCTTGATTCTTATATGTAATGTTTGGTTCTGTCTATGATCCATGACTCATGACTTCAAAAGTTCTAAAACGTAAGGAACTGTTTACCAACATAAATTGGGTAAGTGGCTAAGTGCTAATCGGGTAAGAATGCAGTTTGGGTCAGCATTAATCACTGACCATGTAAGGGGATGTTTGGATGGTTTTCCATTAAGTCCTCTATAGATAAAGTTGTCTGTGTGGATTAATCTATCTCTATAGATACGAAGAGTCTTTTCATGGATGAAAAGAACATGTTTTTTAATTGGGTTTGGGAAAAACTTGGCTTTATATGTACAGCTTCCACCTAGAAGCTTACTGAATAAGCCACTTTCTATATCATTAAGCCGCTACCAAACAATCATATATGGCTGACCAAATAAGCTATGAGTCTCGTTAAGCTGCTAACAAACATGACCTAAGAGACCCACCGTTAGCTTACCACGTCGGCATCAGGATTAGAAAGATTTGGGTGTGATTTCAAGTTTCTTTATACCCAACTATAGATAAATGAAAAATATTTACAGTTATTATAGATTTTAGGTATAGTTTAATCTTCTTTTGTAGTGGAATTTTATACAAGTCTAAAGAGGTCCCCCATGTTCTTCTAGTAACTTATTCTTTAACCACTTTATCCTAATTCCATTTTTTTTCTTGCCTTTCTTCCATCTTTTGGACTTCTTTTATATCTTTTTAAAGCATGAACACATGACCCCTTGGCCTCACATGCATGTATAAGCTTTACAAGTTGTATTACTAATTACTTATTCGTTCTTTTGATTATTCCCACAGGTTATGGTTCATGCCATTATGATTATACTCCTTGATGCAACGAGACAACAAATTATGCGAAGACCAAGTCACATACAAATGTTTAATTGTTCGCTTTTTGACTCATTTATCGAAGTCTTAAAAAGAATCTATGTTTCATAGCTATGTTGGAATGTTAATACTTCTTCAAATAATTTTGGTGCACGATAGTTAAACTACAAACAAAGATATCGGCACACATCTACAAACTGGTAAATCAGGGGATTATAGAAAGTAAATTGGTAAAAGAGAAACAAATGCACCAAAATAGAGGTACCTGCTAACATGAGCTGCTTTATGCTTTTGTGACCTGCAAAACTTTGTGCATATCAATCATCATGCAGTAGCTATAAAAGCAAAACACATGCAAGAGAGAGAATAATCAGATGATCGCAAAGCTTAGATTGGGAGTAGTTTCAGAAGATGCATCAACAAATGAATCGAACACGAAAATACCAAGTGAAGAGTTCGAATTTTCATTTACTTCTTTAAATAGACAATCATATATCCTTGAATCTCTAATTTTTTTTCGTCATTATACATGTAAAAAGTCCTCATGAAGCTTCTTGAAGATTCAAATACCCATCAAAATCTAGAACAGCAAGCTTCCCCAGGCAGCAATAAATGCAAACCCACCAAATGGGGCTACTTTAGCATATTTTCTGTCTTCAAATAACGCCACCATATAACACCTGAAACATTAGAGACTGCATTTTTAAACACCTTTGGCCAGTGTAAACAAGAACAAGACATAGTTTTGTAAATGCACTTTCAAATCTTGGATATTCTCTCCATACCCAGTAGACAGTAGCGTTGATTTAATGATGAGACATCATATAAAAGAAAATGCTAATTGTCACATCACCAGATATGATCGGACTAATTAATGTCCTACGTTGGCATATGTATTATGTATCCAAGAGATGGTGTCAGGACATTAAGGTCTGTGGTGATGGGTATTTTCTTTCCACAAGCAAATGTGGCAGGACCTTGAATTACATCAATCACATATATATAAGTCAGAACAAGTTCCTGGGTCATAATCTCAAGTTAGCTTGGAATCATTGTTTAAAATTTACAAACAACCCACATCATAAACTTCAAAACAACCCCGAAAGTTGCGGAGCTGCAGAACAGGTCCAAACATTTACAAGATTATAGCATGATCCCTGAACTTTCTAAACTTCCATATCAACCGAACAAAGCATCTAGATATATGACAGGGAATCAAAGAACTCTTGTAAGGGTTTTATCAGAGTTCCTCAAACCTAAGTATCAAGATTTCAAGAATGCATCTAGATAGCCTTAGTGTTAATAAAGTCATCGTCAAGTATAGGCTTCCAGCAGCCAGGTGTCATGTATGTTTGCTCTGATGAAAGGCTCAAATTTTCACAAGAAAGATCTACGAACTGGCAATTACTAAACTTGCATATGAGAGAGAAAGAGATGAGTAGAAATGAACCTTAACACTGTCAATGCTCTTTACAAGTGGTTAGCTATGCCCTTTATGAGATTGATGAATTTCGTGGTTAAGCTTTTATGGGCCATTTACTTCTATGAAAGTCTTACCTATAGTAAGAACTAAGAACCAGGACGAACTTACTTGAGTCGAGTGCTAGAAGTTTCGGGTCATGAAAAACTCTGTCAACTTAATAAATTGTTCATTTGGCTGTCATAATCCTTATGTTTGTCATTTCGTATGATGGAGTGTCGTTGATACAAATGCTGACTTATTGGTATCTAATAGAAAGTTTGAGGCTACATAGAGTGGCCTGAACCTCCATGAAACATGAAGCTTATATGAGATAACAATTTTTATAGGAGATCCATTGTATGTTCATAGGGTCTAAGGTGACTAGTAAGGCGTTCTAGAGATAACAGCTAGACTTTCAAAAGCCTAGGTTCTTATACTTGAAGAGAAAGTATTTTAGGTGGCACGTGATGCATCCAGAGTAGGTATAGGTGGTGTTTCCTTCTTGGATATTCAACCAATCAAATAGGCTATAAGTGTTAAAATACCATGGATGCCACTTTCTTTAAAAACATTCCTTTCTACTCCAATCCTCGAATTTCGGGGGAGAATAACACTAATGATTTCAGAATCGGGACCAGTCGTCATTCATTGAACCGAATTTAGCATCCCAACTTTCCTCCATTCTATCTTCTCCCTCTAACAATCTAATTCTGGTTCCAGTTCAAGACTCAATTTAGCATATGTCTCCATCGTATCCCATGCTCGATGAGTCACCCATCGCTGTCTACCCTCAGCATCTTCTTCCTGATGAAGTTATCAAATTTTATGGAAGAAGAAAAAAATCCTAATCTGAATGTACCAAATTAGCAAGGCCAACAAAAACTCTCTTGTGCCAGGTCGAACTTGAAAATTTACGAGATGAGGCAGATTTAGATCCATGAACACGTTCAAGTTGTGACCGGAGTTGGATCTTCTAATTGCATAGGAAAAGTGTTCATTCATGCACTCGACATCCTCTTCGCATCTACATCTTTTACACCAATTTCTCTCCAAAATCCAAAGCATTTGTGACATCCTTAGACAAAATCACAGCAACCAACTCATTCATGAGGCTCTAAGGATTCCGTAACCTTAGAAGAGTATAATGCACTTGAAAAGAATGACACTTGGGTATTAACAAAACTACCTCCCGGAAACAAGATAGTGGGTTGCAAAAGTATATTCTCAGTTAAATACACAAGGCAGACGAATATCTAGATAGATACAAATCTTTACTAGTGGCTAAAGGGTTTACTCATCATATGGAATGATTATCATGAGACCTTTGCTCCTGTAGCGAAGTTTAACACAAATCGTGTCTTGTTGTTTATTGCAATTAACCAGGATTGACCATTATTCAAACTTGATACCAAGATTGTCTTTTTAAACAGAGGTCTATTTGAGTAAGTTTATATGGATATACCGTTTGGCTTTGAGGCTAAGGATAACGTGGGGAGGTTTGCACACTGAGAACAACATTATATGGACTTCAATACTCCTCCAAGGCATGGTTTGGCGATTCACCAAGGTCCTTAAAAAATCGGATACTCCTAGACACACACAGATCATACTTTGTCAAACATTGTGATGGAAGAATCACGGTTTTGATGGTGTACGATGATGACATAGTTCTCATAAGAAATCATGAAGAAGAAATGAAGAGGCTTAATATGCCACTGTCCAAGGAGTTCAAGATTAAAAACTTGGGCTTTCTGAAATATTTTTGGAGAATGGAAGTAGTATGGAGCAGTCAGGGAATCTCATTCCCTTAAGGCAAGAATGTTCTAGACCTCACCTCATACGTGAGAGCGACATTATTGGGTGTAAACCTGTAGAACTCCTATAGATCCTGATGCCAAACTAATGCCTTACTCAACTATGTTCCAAATAAGCAACAAACTGAATACATCTTGACTAAAGCTCTGTTTCGACCCAATCTCATTGAACTAAGTACTATTCTTCACTTGAGCACATATATCACCCAACTTGAGGGGGCGCAAGAAATCATCTAGGCGTATGATTAGTTGAACGATGTTGTATATTCTTCGAAGATTAATTGCCTAAAATATTGATATTCTATATCGGGTAAGATTTTTATTATTTAGATATTAATTTATAGGAGCCTATCAAGGCCATTTATATAACATATTATGTGTATGTATTATATATATTCAGAAAAAATGAAAACGGAAAGAAATTACACATAACTTCACTGCCAATAGACTCGACAAACCAAGGACAACTCAAGTGCCTTAAGTGGGTCAATTGACAGTCCTTTCAGCTCAAGTATCATCATTGAACAATATAATCAACATCGAATCAATGCATACCTCACCAGCAAATGTGCATTCTATTCACACACTTAAAAAAATTAAACCCAAAAAGCATTTGTGTCTACCTCGAACACTATAGCATCAGATTCGATGTAACCTTGCATGTTACCATTTGAGGTAATGTGAAGTAAAAGCCATTGGGAAGTAGGAGTTGTGTTGGGATAGTGCAATTACAAAGGAATTCCATGTTATTTATCATACACTCAAAATCTTATAGGAAGCCCAATTTAACTACACGGTCATAGAGGAAAAAGCTCCTTGCTGTGGTGTTTGCTTTTGATAACCCATATTTATAGTCAAAATGCCCTCCTTTATGTTGATTTTATACATGTTATGAGCTACCTAAGTCCCCTGTTATATCTATGTTGAATAGGAAGAAAAAGGGATCAAAAACGGTTAAAAAGAGGCTTAGGAAACCTGGGTCGCACCATAACTTGCCCATCTATCTGGAGCATGGTTTTCAAATGATCGCGAAGCTGATCATACTTTTCAAATGAGGATTCATTCAGTTCATATTTTTCCAATGAAGATCAAGCATACTATTACAACTAAGCACGCACAACTGAACCCCACCCCCGATGGGACCCTACTTTCGAGTGAGATTTACCGAGTTAATTTGGTTTGGTTTATTCCTAAAAGAGGTTGAGCCATACAAATGTTGACACATAAGCATATATAGACAAAGGTTTTTGGTGCCTTTTGTAGGATGGCTAGCATCCTTGAAGCTATGAGTCAATCATAAGATTTACAAAGTTGGTCAGCACTGCGTCATGTCCTTTGATGTACCCTCAAATCAAGCATGGAGACCTCATGATACTACATTTTTTGACACCAAAAGAACGTTGGCAACTTGTCAAAGGTGATTAGTCACTAAATAGTCCTTACTGATGTTTATATGCTAGAAAGGTGTGTTTTGGCCGCCATAAACATTTCATCCACTTGCAGAAAATTTGCTCTCTCCATCCCAAAATGAGTGTCTATGTTACTATTTTCGTTCGTCCCAAAATAAGTGTCCATTTTCAAAAGTAAATATCTACTTCCCCATTCTACCCTTAATTATGAGATTGATAAAATCTCTATTCATAATTAAAGGTAAAATTGTCCTTTTGTTTATTAAGAACTGTTATATTAATAATTACACATTTCTATAACTGTGTGCCTTTTTCATTGTGAACACTTACTTTGGGACGGAGGGAGTAATACATTTTAACTACAACATCTCATACTGTCATTATTGCATCTGCATACTAACATTAACTTTCTCCTTTAACTTCTCATGGCTCATGTTGTGGAAACTCTAAGTGGACATTAATACTATGCATGCCTTTCATCACTTCACAAAGAACGATTCTTCTACCAATAGATGCTTATCAGGTACCAACTGTTTTCATAGTTCTGTGTACTGTATTCAGATAATGAAAACAGTAAACGTGAATGAGAAAATAAAACCAGAACTTACGTCCCCGAGAAGGCAACAATTCCAGCAGTCAAAAGCCCTCCAAACTACAACTCACAAGAACAAAAGAAAATGATAAGCATAGGTTTTTCTACATCCATCCAAAACACATTCAGAGTCTGAAACATCCGAGTAAATGATTCTGTTTCCATACTAGGACGATATACAAACTCCTACACCAACATATACAAATAATGTGACCTTTCACCGATGAAGATGTTGGATGCAAACGGTCACATAACTACATTTGTTCTTTATGAGGTGTTATGAACTTATGATATTACATAAGTCCTTCATCCCAAAGTAATTGCTACATCTTCCATTTCAAATGTCCCAAATTCATTGCCCAGATTCCTTTTTGGAAATTTACATATTTGGCCATTGCAATCATAATATGATATTAATCATATACAAAATAATGGGTCAAGTTACAAATAAAAGAACCAAGAAGAAGATGAAGAGGGAACTTACAATATTGGGGTTTTTAGTTATGGGAGCACCAACCAATGCAGCTGTATGAACTAAATGGTAAAGAGATGCTGTGTTCCAAACCTGTCATTTTTACAATTAGAAAAAATAGTTAAAATCAAGTTATGATTTTCTTTTCGCCTATTGCATCATACAAACACAACGATCAATTAAATTAAAGACGAATCAACATTGACCTCTTTGTAAGTAGGGTTACTGGGTTTGAAGCCATGGGCACCATATGTGCCTAATCCAAGAGCTGCCATTCCTGGTTTTCAAAGAAATTCAAAAATGGGATTTCCATAAGCACCAATTCAACAAAGATTCAAGGAAAACCTTGGGTTGCGAACAAGGATTTCGCCATGCCACGAACACCAACAAACTTACCAGAGATTGCAGCAACTTTGTGCCAAATAAGAGGATTCATCGTTCTATTCTCTCTCACAAACACACGAATTAGGGTTTAGATGGGAAAGACGATCACAAAATTCTTTGAAAACTTTGAACAGTCCACACAGTGCCCACCAACTGATTTTACGGTGAGGAGGCGCTCGACGTCTGTCTGCAGAATGGAAAAGTTACACTATGCTACCCTGACTTTTTGTTTTCTTACAACTGCCACCATAGTTCTATATTTTTCAAATATACCCTCAAACTTAATGTTTATTTACCCCATTTTCCTTTCTTTTAGAGTAAATTATGTTTTTAGTCCCCATGGTTTGTTATAAATGATGAGTTTCGTTTCTATGGTTTCAAAATTATGGTTTTCGTCCCTATGATTTACAATTAATTGTTGTTTTCATCTTTGATATTAAGGAGCAGTTTACTTTTGGCTTAATCAGTTTAATAGTTGTTTTGGCTTATTCGCACAGCCATATATTGACGTTTACTTACGGCTTAAATGATGAATTTGATGGCTTATTCGCACAGTAGCGAGGGTTGTGTTGCCCCCATTAAGCCAAAATACACGCTTTTTAAAACAAAACATGTGCCTCCGCCAATCGCAATAACGAGTGATGAAACCAATATTATACGAAACATTTATATTTTATTTACTAATATAATAAATAACATAATTGACAATTAATATATGACAATCAATAATTTAATTAAAATCATCTATGTATCATGTATTCCATGTTTAAGCCAATTGTGTGCACCATGGATACCCTCTAAAGTAATTTACGTCAACATTTAACAGTTATTTTATTTTTGACAATTTTTCATTCAGAAAAACAATCCAACACTAGAACGTCTCCATCAGATATATTTTACGAAAACAACTTGCTTATAGCCAAACATCAGCACGAAGTTGTTAGAGCATGTCAAAGCAACAAAAAGGACGAGGTAGCAACAAGAAAACATGAAAACAGATGAGATTGAAAAAGTCTCTCTCTAAATGTGGAAAGGGCAGACGACATTAAGGACAACGATGAAGCTATGGATTGAGGTTGGAGAATCAACAAATTAAGGGGCCGGTTACCTAAATGCTTACCCGGTAAGTACTTACCGTTAGGAGTTAACACTATAATTTATTTTACCGGGTAAGATTGTAGTACATTAAAATGATATCGTATGCAACAATTTATCCGGCAAACACTTACCCGGGTATGAGTCGTCACCCTCACTTACCGAGTAAGGTTCTCCATCTTTATCATTGCTCTTACTGGGTAAGATTTTCGACCCTTGTCATGTTCATCAGATAAGAGAAATTACATGGTAAGCATTTACCAGATAAACGTTCAATAAACGACCCCTAAGTGTTGAAACAAAAACCTAGTGAGAGACTCTAAAACCAGTAATGCTTCTATACATGTCAAAATAAATTAAATACAAAAATTTATTATAATAAATGTATAGTCTTAACTTGAATAAAACCTGGATTTTATTTGTAATTAGCTATGGGTTTAAGATAATTTTTGTAATTTTCTATAGTTAGAGGGATATTTGTTGTAAATTAACCATAGTTTAGGGATATTTTCTATAAATTAACTATAATTTAGGGATATTTTTTGTAATTCACCATGGTTCTAAGTTCTAACCCGAGTCCCCTTCCCGCTCCATCGCCTCCAAATCACACTCCTCCTAAACCCTCGAATCAATTCTCATCGACATTTTATTTGTTCCTGATTTCGTATAAATCCATTGCAATTCATCCATTTCATCAACTAAAAAAGAACCCTAATTCTGTAGTATCAATCAGTATTTATCAATTTCCGGATTTGGGTAAGGTGGTTCTTGAGTGGCATTGATCATTACACTACCAATTCCAAAACCCTAAAGTTCATAGTTTTTTCTAGGGTTATGGAAGCGCTTTTCGGTGTTTGTTCAAATTCATTGTTTCCGTCAATCCAAAACCACAAAAACACAATCCTTTTGCCATTCCCCAATTCTGCTCATCTTCCATTCAGCTCCCAACTAAAATCCCAGAACAGGGTGTCCTTAAAACCCCATGATTTGCCCCCCTTTGAAGCATCAAATAATCTATTATTGAAATGTATAAGCAGCGATGAACGATTAGGAACAAGTGTTGATGAAGGAGATAGTTTGAAGGATGGTGTTCGAATTAAAAATCTTGCTGTTTTTGTCTCTGGCGGTGGTTCGAATTTCCGAGCTGTTCATGAGGCAATTCTTAGAGGAGAAGTTCATGGACGCTTTGTTGTCCTTGTTACCAACAAACATGGTACCATTTACCATATTTTTTACTCTTATTTTACCTTCAATTTTGCATTCTTCATGTTTGGTGGGTTCAAGAAACTCAGATAATACCACCACTTCTTCATGTGTGAATTTAATCTTCTGTGTGCTATGAGTTTATCTGCATTTTGTGTTGCTAAAACTGTAGATACTTCTGATCTTGAGATGCCTTGATAGCAAAGCCAACTAGCAGAGCCCTAAATGTCCTTAGAAACAATATTCTATTCATCTGAGATCAAATTGTATCATATTTAATCCTAATTCAACATCGAATGAGTTTGAAACCATAGAAGCAACTCCATTTGAGTTTGTTTTCTGATTCTTTATAAATATTTAGATTGTGGAGGTGCACAGTATGCAAGAGAGAATGGCATTCCTGTTATAATATACCCCAATACAAAAGGTGAACCAGAAGGTCTGTCTTCAAATAATCTGGTAGCTGTTCTAAGGTCAGCTTAGTTTTTTATTATATTTAGAATTTGGGTTTTTGTTCGTTTCTATTGGTTTTCTTTCTTCAATACATTTCTTGTGCTATTGTAGTTCGTACGAGATTGACTTTATTCTTCTGGCTGGATACCTGAAGCTTATACCATCGGAGCTAATCCGAGCTTATTCAAATTCGATCTTAAATATTCATCCTTCACTTCTTCCGGCATTTGGAGGCAAAGGGTACTATGGTGCAAAGGTGCATAAAGCTGTCATTGCTTCTGGAGCCAGGTATTTTTTTAATAGCCTCTCCATCGTCTCTAACTCTAAGGGTATGTATGACAAACTAGCTCATAAGATAGCCGTTGGCAAATAAATTAGTCATGTTTGGTAAAAATTAGCTGTTAAGCTTAGATTAGAATGTAAGATGATCTAAAAAGACATGTTGAAAAATCAATTAGAAAAATATAAGGGGAGTAATTGCAATGCTATCGTTTCGATAAGCTATCTTATGGCTAACCAAATGGGGCATTTTCAATAAGCTCAAAAGTAAGCTAGTTTATGGTTGCCAAACATGGTCTAAAAGAAATGTTCTTGATGTCTTTACATTCCGTCTTTTTGCTGTATTTGCTATGCTTTTTATGTGGTTCCACTTGGATTTTAAGATTAGCATGCCTCATGTATTTTGTTTTTTTGCTGATTTGAGAAGATACTCGGGGCCCACAATCCATTTTGTTGATGAGAATTATGACACGGGTCGTATTCTAGCTCAACGAATAGTTCCTGTGCTTGCTAACGACACTGCTAAAGAACTTGCTGCTAGGGTTCTCCGTCAGGTAACTGTTTATGGCTCATTTGTGCAGTTCCAGCATCAAGTTGTGGTTTTTTGCAATCTGTATATGCCTCTTTTGTGCATTCCGGAATCAAGTTGCCGTTTTCTCAAATCTTTATATGACTCATTTGTGCATTCCAGAATCAAGTTGTCGTTTTTTTTGCAATCTTGGGAATCAAGTCGTCATTTTTTTGCAATCTTTATACAACTCATTTATGCATTCCAGAATCAAGTTGTCATTTTTTGCCATCTTTATACTCATTTGTGCATTCCAGAATCAAGTTGCCGTTTTTTGCAGTCTTTATACGATTCATTTGTGCAATTCCAGATTCCAGTTGTTGTTTTTGCAATCTTTATATGGATCATTTGTGCAATTCCAGAATCAAGTCGTCATTCTTTTCAATCTTTGTATGGATCATTGTGCATTCTAGAATCAATTTGTCGTTTTTTGCAATCTTTATATGCATCATTTGTGCATTCCAGAATCAAGCTATCGTTTTTTGCAATCTTTATATGGATCATTTATGCATTCCAGAATCAAGTTATCATTTCTTTTCTTTTTGCAATCTTTAACGCATTTTTGCTGATCAAGTGAAAAACCAATGTGTTTTTGGTAGGAACATAAAATGTATGCAGAGGTAGCAGCTGCAATATGTGAAGAACGCGTGATTTGGAGAGAAGATGGTGTTCCCTTGATACGAAGCAAAGCTAACCCCGAACATTATAGCTAACAGACGGATACCGTTATCTTCCAATTTGGCGTCGGGATGCATTTACTGGTGTGTGCACTTTTTGTAGACCCTGTTCTTGTTGTTCAGAAATGAGTTTAAGGGAATAATGTTTTCATATGATGTTACATAGTCTTTTAAAAGATTTCTTGTTTTGTTGAACTACAAAACTTTTGGGATAAAACTCCCTTCAGTAGCAGCAGTACAAAGTCTCTTTACCTCTGTGTATTTTGTACCGTGACGGTACTGACGAGAGTGAGGTATGCAGATAAAAGAATTGTGTACTTTCAATTCGATAAACAGTTTAGTAATTTACCAAAATGTTGGACAAGAAGTTTTTGTTATGTTATGTCCGGTGCATCGTACACTTAAAAGGACAGTGGAGGTATGGTATGAGTATGTCCTACCCCGAGACCTTGATTTTTGGATAGGATTTACTGGGCTTATTTTGTTTGGTTTATTTCTGTTAAAAATAGCGAATAAAATTATTTCATATGGTGGTTTTACCTTCTAAAATCGTACAAAATGATGGTTCATGTCAACGTTAGCTCTTACAAATTAAAGAATAAACTGTTATTCTGTATAAATGACCTATAACCGTATAACTTTAATTGATGTCATAGACGAACCTATAGTGGTGTCAACGGTGGTACGTGTCACTGTATTATTTCTCCTTCGAAGGATAAAAAATTTAGGTTCTTGAAATGTGCAATTGTATTAATTTGTCATGTGTCACCATATATATTTGAAACTATAATAAGAACAAGTTTTCCTTTGTAGAGTTGGTTTGCAAGACTTTTGTTCCATTCCAGACCCTGATCTCAAATCTTGTTAGTGTCATTTTCTTAGTCAAATGATGTCACTTTTTAAAATCTTTTCCCTATATTTGTTTTTTATAGCAAAATGGTACCACGGTTTGAAAACAAATTTGGATCCGTCCCTGATTGATGCATTTAACTGACCGTCTTAGAACGCACACAAAAGCTACTAGGTTTTATAGAGAGTGCGGTTGTCCTTTTTAATTTTTGTAGCTAATATATTTGTTGGTATAAATTCATAAATTAAATAATTTCCACGTTCAAAAAGAAAAATTGACCCGTTTATAAATTTCACCCACTTGTATGGATTATACTTGTTTGTTATTATCCTGGTATCGTCAATCTTTACGGAAATATTTTGAGACAGAGATTAACTAAGCATACATCTTATCCTTACAGACTTGACTATCTCTCTCTCTCTCTCCGGTATATATACTGAGATTATTTGATCTAATTTTTTATATAAAATATATAATATTTATATACGATAAATGCAACAAATAAACTTACACATCCTTATAACCTTTTTGTGAGGTTTGAATGTCTGACCTCTTAGGAAGTCAAAGACTAATATACCGTTAGGACAAATACCATTTGGTTTGATCTGATTTATTCTTAACAATGCAAACATAGAAACAAAAATCTAAGCTTTCCTCGTTTTCATGGGCGCCACGATAGAAAGCGAAAATGACCTTACCACCCTCAATACTTCTCATTTCCATTATTATTATTCTCTTTTTCAAGTAAAATTAAATCCACTTTTTCTTTAAAAAGAATAAATAATTCTTTTAAAGTGCAAAAATAATAAAATATTTGTTTGCAATGTTACTACTTTATTTGAATCAAAATAATTGTTAATAATAAAA